GCCACAACAAAGTTGTTAGCTATCTTGCGCTGACCTACACAATCATCTTGGTGCAACGGTGCGAGTATCAACTCCAAAAGGTGCGTTTATTGAGCCCAAAACGCTGCCATGCTTATCGCCCAATAATATGCATACGCCGTTAGTCCCTAGCTTACGTGCCTGGTACTAAGTGAGCCTATATGGAGCTAAAAGCAGTGGCATTGACATCACCAGTGAATAAATCAGGATTGTATGCTTTAATGCCTAGGTGACTGTTAATTGTTAGACAGGCCCAGGGGTTAGTTCTTTGCGCCCATCGTTGCTGGGGCATCTGCCAAGATAAGTGAGTAAAGCAACCACCCCGAGTTCCTCATTTGCAAGGGTCAATGGATCGCAATGCGGCTGGTGCTCTTGCGGAAACACTTTGCATGTGGAAGGTGCGAAGTGCATACCAAATAAGTAAATCACTCGGGGCAGACTGTTTGGGATTGCCTGTGCCCCCATAGTCACCAAAAACAAAGAAGAAATCGTCCGATTAATCAAACTCATCTGTTCTTTCAGCTGGCAGGACCTCAACGCTTAGGTGGTGAGTTATCGCAAGGGAACGCTCCATGATAAACTCCACGACGCAATCTTACAGGCAGGGGAAACCGGAAAACGTTGAAGTGCCCCATCATCATCATCATTATACACATCAGCTAGAGGTGGGAATAACACCTCCGCTATTGTGCCGCAATACATGAAGGAAATACATACATGGTTGGCGGCATCCAGTTTCGGATTTGCCTGTCACTGTGGCAAGCCACAGGACGCCTGCGCCTACAGAGGGACCATGGATGGCTTGCGCTGCACCACCCACAGCTCCAACCACATACCCCATATCCAGTGTAAACCCGAAGGAATAAGACCGGGAGGCATGCGGATGGGAACCACGTTTCATCAACGGAGCCGGCCCACACTCCTTCACAGGCAAACACAAGCACGCTGTATTTTGGGAATCAACCGCACACAAGGCGGTGGCTGGACCGTAGTCCGCTCCACACTGAGTGCATGGAACCGCTCTTTGAGCCTAGCGCGGCCACAAGAACCGTGCACCCCGTCCCCTCCAGCAACGACCAACTGTCTCCTGGAGCCAGTATGAACGATGTAGTGGGTAATAGACAGGTAGGCACCTTGTCAACATACACATCAAGCGCAACCATACCAGGGATAGCAAGCAACAGCCATTCACTTTAAACGACAAGCTGAAATAAAATAAATCCAATAATGCATAAAGATACGGTGGCATAACTCTTCGCTAAATTACCATATGAAGTAAGTTGATTAGCAACAAATCCGTGATAAGTAAGAAATGTCCACAAGCTACTTAAAATGCTACAAACGCAACAATATTACCGAAGATAAGCGCAATTAGTGTAAGCAACGTGGCCAGTTAATAGAACATTATTCAGGGAGGCAGAACAAACCAAATAAAGCGGAATGAAATTTAGCCAGCTTAAAAAGACCTAGTTTAAGTGTAAGTTGGTTTAGCCCAACTGCGGTGAAGAAGCATCAAGAATGCAACATCAGCCACAAAGGAGAAGTAGATACAACAGTTGCATGCCAGCTGAGCTATCAGCAACGGATAGGCATCGTTCCGGTAAGCTTCCAGCTAGCTACTAGGCAAAAAGAAAAAATGTTATGTTATATCCTAGGAAATGAGATCGTAGATGGATGGGGAGGCTAAAAGGGATAGGGAGGGACAAAGAAACTCACAGCATGAACGCCACTGAGGTCGGCTCCTTGCCATGTCAGCAAGTGTATCCAGCCAAACGTGTTCACCGTCTTTTGGACCCCAACCAGGGAGCCGTGAAGCTCCAACCGAGACTAGCTCCGAGGTGAGGGACTACATTCCCCTGGACCAAGTCAACGCTTGGCCACCTCTCCTCTTCCACCCACATCCCCGGTGAGCAAACAACGCTCGTCGAGGGAGTCGGTGGGCTGGCATGCGTAACACGTGGCCGAGCCATCGGAGCCTGGTGCGGGAAATAACGGTGTTGAGCGGTTCAGATCCTCTTCCTGGGCCGTAAACAAGGCGTCGAACACGCTCGTTACTCACGCGGTGTTCCCACCATATGTGAGCCAAACTGCGAAGGCACCGATGGTCGAACGTAACTAGCCTCTTCATGTCCGCCGATCTTATGGGCCAGGTTTCGCAACCGTACAGTAAGGTCGAACGTACCGCTGCATTGTACACTCTACCCTTCAGGGCAAGAGTGATGTCGCGCCGCCGCCAAAGGTGGCGAAGGTTATCAAAAGCACTTCGAGCTTTCGCTAAACGGTTCGTGATCTCGTCTTCGATCCCAAGGGCGCTGATAAAACTTCCCAGGTAATTGAATTTCTGAACGACTTCTAGCTGATCCCCACCAAGGGTCAGCGCAGGAGGCGATCCCTGCCAATCTTGGAGGAGCGCTTTGCACTTCGATGGTGCAAAGCAAAGCCCGAAGCGGCTGACAGCCAGTGCTAATCTGTCTAGCGCGGCTTGGCACGTCTGGGAGCTGTCACAGATGAGGGCAATGTCGTCAGCATACTCCAAGTCAAGAAGTCGTTCTCCTGGGAGTAGCTCCACACCTTCCAAGTCATGTCCTGTAAAGGCAAACTCCATGACTTCGTCAATAGCGAAGTTGAAGAGGAAAGGTGACAGCGGGCATCCTTGTCTCACACCGCTGGAGATATTAAAGGGTGGCGACAGCTTGCCGTAAGCCCTCACTCTGCCCGTGCTACGCGCATATAATGCTTGGATAATATTTTCATATTTCTAGGGTACACCTTTCCTGAGTAGACAATTCCAAAGGGCACATCGATCAACCGAATTGAAGGCACCTATGATGTCGAGGAACACGACTACGGTGGGCCGCCAATATGTGTGGCGGTGCTCCAACAACTGACGCAAAGTGAAGATGTGGTCAATGCAGCCACGACCACGACGAAACCCGGCTTGCTCCTCACGAATTTGGCTTTCACGAGCGCCAGTCAGTCTGTGAAGAATTATGGAGGCGAGTAATTTGGAGGCGATGGAGATCAGACTGATTCCTCTATGGTTGCCGCATTCCGAGCGCGAGCCGCCTTTGAAGATGGGAACAATAACGGAGCGGCTCCAGTCGGTTGGGACAGTCTCCTGCTCCCACAGTTTCACTAGTAATACATGCAAAGCACCCACAAGAGCAGGGTCTTCGAATTTGAAGAAGGCTGGAGGAAGATCAGCTGGTCTTGCGGCTTTGTTCAACTTTAACAGTCAGATCTCACGTTCGACTTCTGAGCGAGAGGGTGGATCCAAAGGGACAGCCCACGGAGCGGGGGCGATCAGTGACCGGCGAATCGGACAATTCTAGCCGATTAAATTGCTTTTCAAAATGCTCAGCCCAACGCTCCAAACGTTTTGACAAATTGTGGATAGGCTGTCCACTCTCGTCACGTATAGTTTCACTAACACCAGGTCTCCAGCTGCCCGTTTCCCGTATCAGACGGAATAACTTACGATGGTTGCCAAGGGCAGCGGCCACTTCCATCTCTGACGCACGATGAGACCACCAAGGTTCGCGGTCTTTCTTCAGGCTAGCACGGAGTTTTGCCAGGAGCTCTTTGCGAGTTTCATTGTGTTCGCTTCCAGCCGGGACATGCCGGCGAGCGTCGATAAGTTCCAGAGACCGAGAAGAGACCCAATGTCCATGTGGGCTTTTAGACATACCACATGAGGATTTGCCCGCTGCTAGTAAGGTCTGGCGAACATGTGACCAGTGACCATCAATTGTCTCCAGTGAGCGAGTACTCAACTCGCATGTCTGCGTACTTTGATGCGCATTCAGAACAACTGGCTTCGTCAGTTTGCTGGTGTCAATGCGCTCACAGCGTCGTCGTGGGCGTCCTCCAAAGCGCATCCGCATGTCAGCACATACAAGTGCATGATCAGTGTCCACACATGTGCTCCAAATCGAGCGACAATTCTGGATGCAGCCTCTCCAGCAGTACCTTATCGCAATGTGATCGATCTGCGTCCAAGGCTGATTCGAGGCTGGTGGGCGCCAAGTCACCCTCCGGCGGGTGCTGTGTCGGAAATTAGTGCTCGCAAGAAATAAACGAGCATTTTCACACAAATGAAGTAACCGCTCGCCGTTATCATTACGGGAGCCTACACCGTGCTGACCGCCCAGATGCATTTCATCAGTGGACAACTTTCCAACTTGTGCGTTCATATCCCCCGCCAGAACAACAGTGTCCGTGCTTCTTCTGTGGCGAAGGAGCTGAGTCAGTTGGCGGTAAAAGTCGGGCTTTTACCGAATCATCACTCACAGTTGTG